TTCTCGTGACATAAATAAAAACAGTGCTTAAAAAGGGTCGAAGTCAAGTTTTATAAAAATAACGACATCTTTTTCGGTCTTTTTTTCTACATCCTCCCCCTAACGTAAAATGAATTTAGCCACACTGTCACGTGCAGCAGCACCCCAACCGTGACATATGAAAATGCATTTCCTGGTGGCTGGTGGGTACCTACCCACTTGCCAAGTTTCAGCGCAATCGGCCCTGTAATTACCGAGATGTTGTAATTGTTGCATAACTGTTACCTCTTCATTTTGCACGTGACACGTGCCTCAGGGGTCACCCACATACATCGTTAATAGTTCAATACTTGGTAAAACAAATGGAACTACCCCATTAGAATTACCGCAAGTAAATCAGTCAAGTGCTTGTGGAGATATAAGCTAAAAGCGTTACCACGGCCGGCCGGCCGGTCGACAGGCCGTCCGGCCGCTAATACTAACAAATGTCTGCGCTATTCTACCTAACACTTCGCTCGCTCTGCTCGCTACGTAGTTTTTCCTTTTTAGGTCAGGTCAAAGGCTAGGTCGCCAGAGGACATCAAAGTTTGATTTTTTGTAAGGTGTTTGCGTTGCGTATTTTCTTTCTCTTCCCGGTCTGATGCGTTTGATCTGATTGTGTCCGATGTCTGTGTATTTGTTTTGCTTGTGTCCGTTGTGATTTGTGTGTGTTTCTGTTCCTATTATATCTATGATTTTTGCTGGGCGACGAGTCACCCTGGGTTTTATCTGGCAACATCTTTTCCCTTATCCGATCAATCAAATTCCAAGTAATCTACTCGATCTGATACCAATCCAACTAGTCCTTATGAATTATGTCTATTCTAGTCTAGACTTTACGCCTACAGGGTGTTTCACTAAAAGTGTCAAAAAGTAAATGCTTATTAAAGATATATAAAATACGCAAAGCACGTGGTTGCGCACGTGGCTTTGTTGCAAATTTTTGGACATTTATGCTTTGGCCACTTAACCCTCGCACGACCAGGCCATTTCTCATAACACGAACGACCAGGGGGGGGGGGGGTTGTTACGACCCCCCCCCCCTGGCGTTTCGAAACGGAAGGTCGTAGAGCTTAGCGGAAAAAACCAACGGATTGCTCTCAACGAGATCTCGCGATTGGTGGTATATTTTTTGGTCCTAGGTCAACATTTGACCTACTTTTGACCGGTCAAATGTCAAATTTTCGGAAAAATAGATTTTTTTTTCAACTTTCGGCGGCGATTGCGGCAAAACGGTAGGAGATATCGACTTGAAATCTTCACTATCGTGTTCCTTGATCAATTCTCTATCGTTTGGTATGTATTTCGTTTCCCTAGCTCTAAAAATGGCGCGTTGGGAGCGCCGGAAGTCGGCAAGGTCACAGTCGGCGGCAGAAATTCGAAAAATAAAAAATTAAATTTTTGAAATCTGATTGTATTTTTGGATTTGGGAGGTCCATTTGCTCCCTATAGAAGCTAATATTGCTGCATATTCCCATTGAGGTGACAAGAATTAGCAAAATAGTGGTTCGGGCGCTTTTCAAAAATAGTACCGGACGCTGTTCCTCTTGTGACGTCATAGCTCCGTGACCTGACCTGACCCGGTCAAATTTCTTATACCATATGATAGCCAATACTTGCCCCAACATGCATGGGAAGTTTCATCACGATCCATCAACCGATGTCCGTACCACCGGCAGGAAACCTCGGGCGTTGGCACTCAGTTTGTGAAAATCCGGCCGGAGGCTGTACCTCTTATGACGTCATAACTCCGTGACCTGACATGACCCGATCAATTTTTTTTCGGCAAAAGATGCGCAAAGGTTGCCCCAGAGGGTATTGAAAATTTCAGCCCGCTACGACAAGCCGTTTAGCGTGCACTTCGAAAAAACCTCAGGGGGGGGGGGTTGATACAACCCCCCCCCTAGGCGTTCTAGGGTTAAGATATATTTTACACTCATACGGAGCGAGGGCAGGAGGCCAAAGTTACTAGTCGTTTTTTTTCCTTATACAGAACAAGAACAGGTTATTTACACCGCAACAGGAGCGGTGGATTACACTTACAACCAGCTATCAGAAACATTGAAACCGTACGCCGACTTTTCAGGAAACGTTTCACTCTCTCACCTCGCTACGACCCAGATTATAAAAGTTTCAAAGGGCTTCTTGAGAGGTTTAAAAGGGTTCCTTTGATGCCGGTTCCAGTCCAAAAAAAGGCGGGTCGCCCCCACTTCTCGGCGGAAATAGTTGAAAATGTCAGGGTCTTTTTTAGGGCCTTTTAAGATAACAAGAAGCTTATTTCAACATCAGAAATAGCCAAGCCCCCAATTTATCAGAAACAACCACCGTAACGGCTGTAGCCACCAAGAACTGGCTGGACCAGAAGTTCCGTTCCCGGGCCGAATAATCAGCTGCCTCACCGCCCGCCCCTGGCCAGCGCGAGGCCCCGATCTGTCACCGCTAGCCTTCTGGTTTTGGTCAGTAGCTCTCGCAGAGCTGAGGAAGACTTAAGTCGCATCACTTTTGGAGCTGAAGAGCACAATGCAAGGCTTTGCCGACAGTCTGGACGCTGAAGATGAAAACGGGCTGTGAGGCACCTCCGGACACGTGCCGAAACGGTGCATCAAAAGAAGCGGCGGATATGTGGAATAGGTTTGAGTGACGGTGATATCATTTTTATATATTCAAATGTCCAACAATCGCGGATGGAATGATGTGTAAATGTCCATAGAAAACATTGTTATTATGTGCATTAGGGCCTTTTACTTTTTGACACTTTTAGTGAAACACCCTGTAGTCAGCTGTCTTTTACGTTACGCTTGGGGTATTTTATCCCTTCTCGCTCTTTTTAACTAGCTTTTAGGCTTTTAATAAGCCTTTTATCTCGTCGGTTTTCTTGTGACACACTTGTTTTACTTGTTGAAAGTTAGGGGCGCAAAATGACCTTGTAGTCGGCGCGCCCTTAAGCCTCAATAAACAAACAAACAATTTTGTTTGCTGTAGGGGAAGTTGGGGGAACGCCGAATACCTACTTTTTTTTCTGACGCCCGTAGCACGCAAGGTAGACAACCTAAGCTATTCTTGTTGGCGTCATTCGAGAGGCCAGTCTTTTGCCTTTCAAACATACCAGGCGCATTTGATGAATTCGCATACCGTTAAGCGCACAAACTAAAAATATCAAAAAAGTGACTTTTTCGGCGTTGCCCCGGACTGCGGGGAAAGCCGAAAATGGGAGAAATGATCTACGGGGAATGCCGACATTGATGTTTTGCCACTTTATTTCAAACTTTATCCAGAATTTATCAAAGCTGACACGCGTTTTAAGAGCTTGAGGACGCTTGGTGCACACTGGAAGTTATAATTGTGTGATATAATAAGAAAATGCCAGGTAAATAATTCCTTATAGGTAACAGGCCGTTGTGTCGGTTGAAAGTGTAATTTGTGTGACTAAAAATTCGCGTTGCTATTCTACAGCAGTAAAGTCCACGTAGCGTGCTTTAAAGGTAGACTGCCACCTTTTTTTCCACAAAACGGTTTTCACTAGAGCTGAGCCACCTATGTCCCAGACTGAAGTCGGTTTTCCGAAATTCGAACCCGTTTGCGAGAAATCGGAGACCAAAGTTCAGTTTGATGCCATTTTTTTTAGTCCAAGAAAACCGACATCTCTACTGTTTATCGATAACTTTGAAACATGAATTTTCTTATCTTTTGGTAAATATATGCCAAAACTTTGATTGTTTCGAGATCAGAGAAGAATTTTGGAGTGTCAAAATAAAAGTTAAACTTATATATTCAGTACCTAGTTCATTTTTTCCAAAAAAGTGTGGGAAATGGGGTTTAACATGGGCCAGACCCATTCCAAATGAGCCATGATTTTTTTAATGTTTTACGAACTTAAACGCAAAATAAATTAAACATGGCCAATTTTTCATGAAATCATATACTAGTAAATCATAAAATACCTTACTTTTTCAAATAAAATGTAATAATCTTATGACCTTGAAGTCTAGTGATGTGTAAACATTGTCGCTAGACATTAACCGATTGATAATTGTATGAAAATCGACAATTTTTTTCGCGATTCACGTGATGATACTTTGTCAGGTGAATTCTAAAATTTTGTTTTGTCCAGGGAATAAATCATAGGCCGATCTGAGAAAACTTTTTGAAGGTGGCAGTCTTCCTTTAACGTGCGTAATTGCACGTTTTCGGCATTACCCCAGCCAGCCATACTTTCATTTGCAGGCCCATAACTTTTCAACGTGCCTTATAAATTTCAAATAGGCAGCACACTTATGCAAAGACATGCTGAAGATTACTTGACCGAATTGGCCAGACAAACGGTAGCATAATGAGTAAGAAATGCAGCTTCAAAGGCGCATGTAGTACAAGGAACGCGTACCTTGAAAACGCTCTTGGCGCCCTCACAGCCGAAGTATTCCGAATGACGACTCGTAACAAACATGCGATAATTGTAGTCACTTAAGCTTCAGAGCATCACTGACATGGGCATCCATGTCTTACGGTTTTCGAAATATCTCGAATTTCGGCTTTGCCCCAACTCCGGCATTGCCCCAACTTCCCCTACTTTTGTCCGGTGCTTATGTGTTTGTTCCGACTGTGTCTGGTGTTAATTTGTTCTGAATATCCCTGTTGTTTGTGTGTTCGCTCTTATTGCACACGCTGTGATTTTTGTTTGTTCCGGTTTCGATAGTATCCGTGATTGGTGTTTGCTTCAGCTGGAGGCGGGCGATGTCATATCCGTTATTTGTGCTTGTTTCAGTTAGAGGCGGGCGATGTCATATCCGTTATTTGTGTTTGTTTCAGTTAGAGGCGGGCGATGTCATATCCGTTATTTGTGTTTGTTTCAGTTAGAGGCGGGCGATGTCATATCCGTGATTTGTGTTTGCTTCAGCTGGAGGCGGGCGATCTCATATCCGTGATTTGTGTCTGTTTCAGCTGGAGGCGGGCGATCTCATATCCGTGATTTGTGTCTGTTTCAGCTGGAGGCGGGCGATGTGATTCTGGAGGTGAATGACCAGGAGGTCAGTGACCTCACCACCAAAGAAGGTGAGAGACCGGCGACACATTACAAAGAAAAAAATCAGTCCGAACCTCTTGAATGGATGGGGTCACAAGCGTATGGACTATGGACCCCGCTAAGCAGAACTTGTGGCCTTGGCCCTGTCCTCTACCCTCCGATTGCGCAATCTCTGGTCTATGGTATAATTTAGAATACGAAGTTAAACGTAGGCACATAGTCCCGCGCGCGGTCCGTCCCCTCACTGACCTGGCTGACCTGGCTCCCTCACGCCTGGCTACGGCCTGCCACCAACTGCAACCATACCCGTCAAGAGGCTCATAAACATCGAGCGCCTTTCGCGCCTCGAACCCTGACTGTTATAACCGGGACGCGTGCTCTCACCACGCGGAGTCCAACGCTCTACCGACTGAGCCACGGGACCCGCTCAGTTCCATTTGTTATTTTCTTCTTCCCATCAAGTTTTTGACTGGGTGGATGCAGTATAATCATATTGAACAGCAGTGGTCGGCTCGGCAGGTCCTCCGGAGTCCGGGGTGGCGACCCCCCTCCTTTTGGGCGCCAGGAATGGCCACCCCCGGCCCCACTTACCTCGGGGGGGGGGGGGGACACCCCATTGCTGACACAACGACGGTCATTGAAATTCCATAGCTCTAGCTTTAGCTAGCCATAGCTCTTGTCTCTGCTTGTCTCTGCTTTTCTCTATTTCAAAGTTAGAAATTGACAAGTTCCACATTGTTACGGAGCGAGCGAAGCGAGCGTAGTCTTTCCTTAGATTAACGGAAATTTCTGAGTATGAGCGGCCGGCCGGCCGGCCGTGCGGACGCTTTTGCGAGGCTTATATCTCAGCAACCACTTGACCGATTTACATGCGGTAATTTTTGTAGGGTAGCTTCATTCCTTCTACCAAGTATTGGACTATTCCCGATGCATGTGGGTGACCCCTTATGCACGTGCCACGTGCAAAACGAAGAGGTGTCAGTTTTGTAATTGTTGCAATATCTCGGTAACTACTTGGCCGATTGCGCTGAAAGTTGGCATGTAGGTAGGCACCCACTAGGCACTGCATATTCATGTGCCAGAGTTGGGGTGCTGCTGCACGTGCGCACGTGCAGGGGTCGTTTCCAGATCTCGAGAACGGCTGGACCGATTGCGCTCAAATTTGGTACACAGTTAGGGACCGGTTAGTAGGGTGCCGTGCACAAGTCAGTTGGGACCCATTTTGCACGTGCGCACGTGCAGGGTGTCGCTCCCAGATCTCGAGAACGGCTGGGCCGATTGTGCTCAAATTTGGCACATCGCTAGAGACCGGTTAGTAGGGTGCCGTGCACAAGTCAGCTGTCAGCTGGAGGTACCCCCTCGAAATTTCGCACGTGCAAGGCTCACCCTCTCGCTCGCTCCGTTAGTCGCCCCAAAAGGCGTTATACTGGTGCATACTATGCAACTATGCATGCGCTATGCATATTATTACGGAGCGAGCGAAGCGAGCGGAGTCTTTCCTTAGATTAACAGAAATTTCTGAGTATGAGCGGCCGGCCGGCCGGCCGTGCGGACGCTTTTATGAGGCTTATATCTCAGCAACCACTTGACCGATTTACACGCGGTAAATTTTGTAGGGTAGCTTCATTCATTCTACCAAGTATTGGACTATTCCCGATGCATGTGGGTGACCCCTTATGCACGTGCCACGTGCAAAACGAAGAGGTGTCAGTTTTGTAATTGTTGCAATATCTCGGTAACTACTTGGCCGATTGCGCTGAAAGTTGGCATGTAGGTAGGCACCCACAAGGCACTGCATATCCATGTGCCAGAGTTGGGGTGCTGCTGCACGTGCGCACGTGCAGGGCTCGTTTCCAGATCTCGAGAACGGCTCGACCGATTGCGCTCAACTTTGGTACACGGTTAGGGACCAGTTAGTAGGGTGCCGTGCACAAGTCAGTTGGGACCCATTTTGCACGTGCGCACGTGCAGGGTGCCGCTTCCAGATCTCGAGAACGGCTGGGCCGATTGTGCTCAAATTTGGCACATCGCTAGAGATCGGTTAGTAAGGCGCCGTTCACAAGTCAGTTGGAGGTACCCCCTCGAAATTTCGCACGTGCAAGGCCCACCCTCTCGCTCGCTCCGTTAGTCGCCCCAAAAGGCGTTATACTGGTGCATACTATGCATGCTAAGTATGTGTAGTTACAAACATAAAGTAAGCAGTTCTCAATGGTGATGACTAAGTGTAGGTATGTTCCAGACTGCCGAGTTGACCGCTCACTGTCTGTGACTCAGTGTACGTTCCAGACTGCCGAGCTGACCGCTATCTGTGACTAAGTGTACCTTCGTTCCAGACTGCCGAGCTGACCGCTCACTGTGACTCAGTGTACGTTCCAGACTGCCGAGCTGACCGCTCTCTGTGACTCAGTGTACGTTCCAGACTGCCGAGCTGACCGCTCACTGTGACTAAGTGTACCTTCGTTCCAGACTGTCGAGCTGACCGCTCACTGTGACTCAGTGTACGTTCCAGACTGCCGAGCTGACCGCTCTCTGTGACTCAGTGTACGTTCCAGACTGCCGAGCTGACCGCTCACTGTGACTCAGTGTACGTTCCGGACTGCCGAGCTGACCGCTCACTGTGACTCAGTGTACGTTCCAGACTGCGGAGCTGACCGCTCACTGTGACTAAGTGTACGTTCCAGACTGCCGAGCTGACCGCTCACTGTGACTCAGTGTACGTTCCGGACTGCCGAGCTGACCGCTCACTTTGACTCAGTGTACGTTCCAGACTGCCGAGCTGACCGCTCACTGTGACTAAGTGTGCCTTCGTTCCAGACTGTCGAGCTGACCGCTCTCTGTGACTCAGTGTACGTTCCAGACTGCCGAGCTGACCGCTCACTGTGACTCAGTGTACGTTCCGGACTGCCGAGCTGACCGCTCACTGTGACTCAGTGTACGTTCCGGACTGCCGAGCTGACCGCTCACTTTGACTAAGCGTACCTTCGTTCCAGACTGTCGAGCTGACCGCTCACTGTGACTCAGTGTTCGTTCCAGACTGCCGAGCTGACCGCTCTCTGTGACTCAGTGTACGTTCCAGACTGCCGAGCTGACCGCTCACTGTGACTCAGTGTACGTTCCAGACTGCCGAGCTGACCGCTCTCTGTGACTAAGTGTACCTTCGTTCCAGACTGTCGAGCTGACCGCTCACTGTGACTCAGTGTACGTTCCAGACTGCCGAGCTGACCGCTCTCTGTGACTCAGTGTACGTTCCAGACTGCCGAGCTGACCGCTCACTGTGACTCAGTGTACGTTCCGGACTGCCGAGCTGACCGCTCTCTGTGCGTTTGTTTCAGTGCTGAAATGTCTGCGGCTCTCGGAGCAGTCGGTCTCGCTCAAACTGCGGAAAGGTGAGTTTGAGTTGGGCCGAGTACCACTTCTCACAGCGCGGCGGGGCGATTATCACACACTCTCAGGGGCAATTACCACTCACTAACAGCGACGATTACCACTCACAGTCCGGGCGTTTACCACTCACCTGCGAGAGCGATACCATTCACGGGGGCGATTTCCAATCACAGTGAGGCCAATACCAGCCACTCTAATGGGGCAATTACCACTCGCAGACGGGGGCGATTACCACTAACTCAGTCGGTTGGTTACCACTCGGGCGATTACCAGTCACAGAGTGGGGGGGGGGGATTAGTGGTAACCACCCACTCACGGGCATGTCGCCGTGTGACGTCATATGTGTGTGTGTGTGTGTGTGTGCCGGCAGATGACGCGGTCCGGCAGCGGGTCCGCCAGTACCTGCAGTCGCCGCAGACCCTGGAGCAGCTGCGGCCGGCCATCACCCAGCGCGACCTGGCGCACGTCCGAGAGGTGGTGGCCATGAAGGGCTCGTCGCGCCGCGCGCCGGCCGCCGTGCCGCGCGTGCCGCTGGTACACAGCCCGCCCAAGGGGCGCGCCAAGCCGCTGCCGCCGCCGTCCGAGGCGCGCCGCCAGACGGACGGCGCGGCGCACACCAACGGGCACGGCGGCGCGCCGCCGGCGCCGGCCGACGGACGGCCGCGCTTCGAGGCGTTCACCATGACCGGCGAGCTGATGCTGAATCTGTCGCGTCTGCCGGCCGACGAGCTGCCGCCGCCGGGCCCGCCGCCGGCCGCCGGCGGCGGCTCGGCGCCCACCAGTCCGCCAGCGGCTCCGTCCGGCGGCGGCGGCGGCCTGTTCCGCGGCTCCCGCTCCGAGGACCGGCTCCTGTCTCCGCCGGCGGAGGCGGACTCCGCAGCGGAGCGGGCCGGATCCGTGGACCCACTGCCCGACACCGACACGGCGCGGGGCAACGGACCGAGTCCGGCACAGCGAATACTCGAACAGGACAACGACCGGGGGGACGAACAGGGCAACGGCCGGGGGAGCGACCGGGGTAACGACCTGGGGAGCGACCAGGGTAACGACCGGGGGAGCGACCAGGGTAACGACCTGGGTAACGACCAGGGTAACGCACAGAGCAGCGGCCGCAGTGGGACGGCGAGCGGCCGGAGCGGCGAGCGGACAGACGCCACCGACACCGGCCGGCCGTGTGGTGAGAGCCGGCTGAACGGAGAGAGTACCGAGCAGAGCGGAGCACACGACGCCGGCCCCGGCAGTCCCGACTCGGACGACGGCTCCGACTCGGAGAGCCAGCGCAGCCTGCCGCCGCCCTGCCCCAGGGCCGTGGATGGGCCGTCGGCCGGCCGGCTCGCCAAGCGGCTCTACATGCTGGAGGGCTTCCGGCGCTCCGACGTCTCCAGGCACCTCGGCAAAAAGTCAGTACCGCCGCCGGCATGCAGCGGTGCGCGCAGGGGCTTTGGAGGGAGGGGGCACATCGAGGAGCAGTGAGCCGCAGAGGGGGCTGGGGTGTCCGCCTCACTTGATGGACCTGTTGACCTGTCATCTGCCGTCCATCCCGCAGCGTAGCGCAGTGGTCGTGTGGGTGGCTCCGCTCCCCTCCCGCTATCCGCCGTCCGCCGTCCTCCGTCCGCCGGTGGCTGATTCGATTTTCCGCTGACTCACACGGGGGACTGAGTGCGGCCTGCGGACCCCGCCACTGACTCATGGACCCCGGCGGGCAGGGAGCGCCGCCGCGGTGTGTGTCATTACGTCACGGCAGGACTGCTAGGCGCCGGTGTGTCTCCCTCTGTCCGGGGGAGGGGAGGGTGTGTCTCCCTCAGTCCGGGGGAGGGCCGCGGTGTGTCTCCCTCTGTACGGGGGAGGGCCGCGGTGTGTCTCCCTCAGTCCGGGGGAGGGCCGCGGTGTTTCTCCCTCAGTCCGGGGGAGGGGAGGGTCTCCTTCAGTCCGGTGGAGGGGAGGGGAGGAGAGGACTGCGGTGTGTCTCCCTCAGTCCGGTGGAGGGGAGGGCCGTGGTGTGTCTCCCTCAGTCCGGTGGAGGGGAGGGCCGTGGTGTGTCTCCCTCAGTCCGGGGGAGGGGAGGGGAGGACTGCGGTGTGTCTCCCTCAGTCCGGTGGAGGGGAGGGCCGTGGTGTGTCTCCCTCTGTCCAGGGGAGGGGAGGGCCGCGGTGAGTCTCCCTCTGTCCGGTGGAGAGGAGGGGAGGGCCGCGGTGTGTCTCCCTCAGTCCATGGGGAGGGGAGGGGAGGGCCGCGGTGAGTCTCCCTCAGTCCGGGGGAGGGCCGCGGTGAGTCTCCCTCAGTCCGGGGGAGGGGAGGGGAGGGTGTGTCTCTCTCTGTCCAGGGGCGGGGGAGGGGAGGGCCGCGGTGTGTCTCCCTCCGTCCGGGGGAGGGGAGGGTGTGTCTCCCTCTGTCCGGGGGAGGGGAGGGGAGGGCCGCGGTGTGTCTCCCTCCGTCCGGGGGAGGGGAGGGTGTGTCTCCCTCAGTCCGGGGGAGGGCCGCGGTGTGTCTCCCTCAGTCCGGGGGAGGGCCGCGGTGAGTCTCCCTCCGTCCGACGCCGCCGCACCACTTATTGTATCTCTGAATGTGTGCGTGACAATGCCTACCTCCATGTATCGCTAAACGTACAGACTGAACTCATACTGACGCCGTCCTCGTGCTGCGGTCACTTGTCATCATAGGGTTGTAACAGTGTGTGTTCTCCCTCTGTCCTCAGTAACAGTGATGGGTTGTAACAGTGTGTGCTCTACCTCTGTCCTCAGTAACAGTGAGGACTTGTAACAGTGTGTGTTCTCCCTCTGTCCTCAGTAACAGCGACGGGTTGGAGCAGTGTGTGTTCTCCCTCTGTCCTCAGTAACAGTGAGGACTTGTAACAGTGTGTGTTCTCCCCCTATCCTCAGTCACAGTGTGTGTTCTCCCTCTGTCCTCAGTAACAGTGACGGGTGGTAACAGTGTGTGTTCTCCCTCTGTCCTCAGTAACAGTGAGGACTTGTAACAGTGTGTGTTCTCCCTCTGTCCTCAGTAACAGTGAAGACTTGTAACAGTGTGTGCTCTCCCTCTGTCCTCAGTAACAGTGACGGGTTGGAACAGTGTGTGTTCTCCCTCTGTCCTCAGTAACAGTGACGGGTTGTAACAGTGTGTGTTCTCCCTCTGTCCTCAGTAACAGTGACGGGTTGTAACAGTGTGTGTTCTCCCTCTGTCCTCAGTAACAGTGACGGGTTGTAACAGTGTGTGTTCTCCCTCTGTCCTCAGTAACAGCGACGGGTTGGAACAGTGTGTGTTTTCCCTCTGTCCTCAGTAACAGTGAGGACTTGTAACAGTGTGTGTTCTCCCCCTATCCTCAGTCACAGTGTGTGTTCTCCCTCGGTCCTCAGTAACAGTGACGGGTGGTAACAGTGTGTGTTCTCCCTCTGTCCTCAGTAACAGTGAGGACTTGTAACTGTGTGTGTTCTCCCTCTGACCTCAGTAACAGTGATGGGTTGTAACAGTGTGTGTTCTCCCTCTGTCCTCAGTAACAGTGACGGGTTGTAACAGTGCGTGTTCTTCCTCTGTCCTCAGTAACAGTGACGGGTTGTAACAGTGTGTGTTCTCCCTCTGTCCTCAGTAACAGTGACGGGTTGTAACAGTGTGTGTTCTCCCGCTGTCCTCAGTAACAGCGACGGGTTGGAACAGTGTGTGTTCTCCCTCTGTCCTCAGTAACAGTGAGGACTTGTAACAGTGTGTGTTCTCCCTCTGTCCTCAGTAACAGTGACGGGTTGTAACAGTGTGTGTTCTCCCTCTGTCCTCAGTAACAGTGACGGGTCGGAACAGTGTGTGTTCTCCCTCTGTCCTCAGTAACAGCGACGGATTGTAACAGTGTGTGTTCTCCCTCTGTCCTCAGTAACAGTGACGGGTTGTAACAGTGTGTGTTCTCCCTCTGTCCTCAGTAACAGTGACGGGTTGTAACAGTGTGTGTTCTCCCTCTGTCCTCAGTAACAGCGACGGGTTGGAGCAGTGTGTGTTCTCCCTCTGTCCTCAGTAACAGTGAGGACTTGTAACAGTGTGTGCTCTCCCTCTGTCCTCAGTAACAGTGACGGGTTGTAACAGTGTGTGTTCTCCCTCTGTCCTCAGTAACAGTGACGGGTGGTAACAGTGTGTGTTCTCCCTCTGTCCTCAGTAACAGTGACGGGTGGTAACAGTGTGTGTTCTCCCTCTGTCCTCAGTAACAGTGAGGACTTGTAACAGTGTGTGTTCTCCCCCTATCCTCAGTCACAGTGTGTGTTCTCCCTCTGTCCTCAGTAACAGTGACGGGTGGTAACAGTGTGTGTTCTCCCTCTGTCCTCAGTAACAGTGAGGACTTGTAAAAGTGTGTGTTCTCCCTCTGTCCTCAGTAACAGTGAGGACTTGTAACAGTGTGTGCTCTCCCTCTGTCCTCAGTAACAGTGACGGGTTGGAACAGTGTGTTCTCCCTCTGTCCTCAGTAACAGTGACGGGTTGGAACAGTGTGTGTTCTCCCTCTGTCCTCAGTAACAGTGACGGGTTGGAACTGTGTGTGTTCTCCCTCTGACCTCAGTAACAGTGATGGGTTGTAACAGTGTGTGTTTTCCCTCTGTCCTCAGTAACAGCGACGGGTTGGAACAGTGTGTGTACTCCCTCTGTCGTCAGTAACAGTGACGGGTTGTAACAGTGTGTGTTCTCCCTCTGTCCTCAGTAACAGTGACGGGTTGTAACAGTGTGTGTTCTCCCTCTGTCCTCAGTAACAGTGATGGGTGGTAACAGTGTGTGTTCTCCCTCTGTCCTCAGTAACAGTGACGGGTGGTAACAGTGTGTGTTCTCCGTCTGTCCTCAGTAACAGTGAGGACTTGTAACAGTGTGTGTTCTCCCTCTATCCTCAGTCACAGTGTGTGTTCTCCCTCTGTCCTCAGTAACAGTGACGGGTTGTAACAGTGTGTGTTCTCCCTCTGCCCTCAGTAACAGTGACGGGTTGTAACAGTGTGTGTTCTCCCTCTGTCCTCAGTAGCAGTGATGGGTTGTTACAGTGTGTGTTCTCCCTCTGTCCTCAGTAACAGTGACGGGTGGTAACAGTGTGTGTTCTCCCTCTGTCCTCAGTAACAGCGACGGGTTGGAACAGTGTGTGTACTCCCTCTCTCCTCAGTAACAGTGACGGGTTGTAACAGTGTGTGTTCTCCCTCTCTCCTCAGTAACAGTGACGGGTTGTAACAGTGTGTGTTCTCCCTCTGTCCTCAGTAACAGTGACGGGTGGTAACAGTGTGTGTTCTCCCTCTGTCCTCAGTAACAGTGACGGGTGGTAACAGTGTGTGTTCTCCCTCTGTCCTCAGTAACAGTGAGGACTTGTAACAGTGTGTGTTCTCCCTCTATCCTCAGTCACAGTGTGTGTTCTCCCTCTGTCCTCAGTAACAGTGACGGGTTGTAACAGTGTGTGTTCTCCCTCTGTCCTCAGTAACAGTGACGGGTTATAACAGTGTGTGTTCTCCCTCTGTCCTCTGTAGCAGTGACGGGTTGTTACAGTGTGTGTTCTCCCTCTGTCCTCAGTAACAGTGACGGGTGGTAACAGTGTGTGTTCTCCCTCTGTCCTCAGTAACAGCGATGGGTTGGAACAGTGTGTGTACTCCCTCTGTCCTCAGTAACAGTGACGGGTTGTAACAGTGTGTGTTCTCCCTCTGTCCATAGTAACAGTGGCGGGTTGTAACAGTGTGTGTTCTCCATCTGTCCTCAGTAACAGTGACGGGTTGTTACAGTGTGTGTTCTCCCTCTGTCCTCAGTAACAGTGACGGGTTGTAACAGTGTGTGTTCTTCCTCTGTCCTCAGTAACAGTGAGGACTTGTAACAGTGTGTGTTCTCCCTCTATCCTCAGTCACAGTGTGTGTTCTCCCTCTGTCCTCAGTAACAGTGACGGGTGGTGACAGTGTGTGTTCTCCCTCTGTCCTCAGTAACAGTGAGGACTTGTAACAGTGTATGTTCTCCCTCTGTCCTCAGTAACAGTGAGGACTTGTAACAGTGTGTGTTCTCCCTCTGTCCATAGTAACAGTGGCGGGTTGTAACAGTGTGTGTTCTTCCTCTGTCCTCAGTAACAGTGACGGTTGGTAACAGTGTGTGCTCTCCCTCTGTCCTCAGTAACAGTGACGGGTTGGAACAGTGTGTGTTCTCCCTCTGTCCTCAGTAACAGTGACGGGTTGGAACAGTGTGTGTTCTCCCTCTGTCCTCAGTAACAGTGACGGGTTGGAACTGTGTGTGTTCTCCCTCTGACCTCAGTAACAGTGACGGGTTGTAACAGTGTGTGTTTTCCCTCTGTCCTCAGTAACAGCGACGGGTTGTAACAGTGTGTGTTCTCCCTCTGTCCTCAGTAACAGTCTGTGTTCTCCCTCTGTCCTCAATAACAGTGACGGGTTGTAACAGTGCGTGTTCTTCCTCTGTCCTCAGT